TACCAAAATAAGCAAACTGCTTGGGCTATCTAAACGAATTTATCCTGAGGCAAACACCTGCCATGCACATTTTGGGATCAAATGTTTAAAATTTGGCAAAATTTACAGAGAATCTTCTTTTGAGACAAGCAGCATACCAGTTCTGCCTGTAATAATTTCTACTATCTTTTATGTGACCCAGAACCTTGCAGTTTTATTCCATCAGACACCGCAGGTATAAGTGTATTCTAAATGCAGAATGCATTTGTATTATGAATAATTATCATGTTGGAAAGATAAAATGAAGTTTTATTCACAGAGGGTCTGATTCTCTCTTTGCATTCTCAGGTGTAATGAAGGAACAGGTGTAATCAGATCAGTTGAATCTCACTAATTACAAACAGCAGAGAGGAGAATTAGGCTTGTAATCATAACCCAATATAATGCTAACATGTAGTCACTGGCCAGAACGGGCAATAGAAACAGTCTAAGTATTATGCTATTGACCAAGAAAAGCATCATGAGTAAGTTGCATGTGCTGTTCACTTTGTATTCTTAATGGGGTCACATGTCATTTGATGTTTAATCAAGTAAACACCCCTAGTTTTGGGTTCTTTGTTAAATATGTCTGTAATCTGCATTGGTCTAGTCCTGTGTAGCTAGACTGTGTGATAAAAGATAAGAAGGTGAAGCTTTTGGGTTCCTGTGGACTGTCAGACAACAAAAGTAAAAACTATTCTGGTCTAAATAAGATATGGTTCCTTCTGTATGTGTGGCATTTTATTTTAATTTGACCTTTGTTTAATGTCTAGACAATCCCAATATTATAATAACATAAATTAATGAGGACTTAGAAACAATACCATTGGAATAATGATTTAGGCTTTGGTAGGCCACTGCTTTAAATACTATCAATCACATTCTTTTTATTCCAGTTTGATCCCTCAAATAAGAAATTACAGATTGAAATATTAGCTTAATTTCAATCATGTAAATGAAAAATGAAACATGAATTTAATGAAGTATTTTGATTTATCAGAAAAAAAAACTTAAAAGTGAGAAGAGAATAAGGTACCCCAATTCATAAGGTTCATCTCTAGTAAGATAGAAACAGCAGCTTGTTCACACCTCCTTTTCCAAATGTACACTGATATTATTGATGGTATTAGTACCACATATAAATAAGGAATTAAACATAGAGCCATATGCTCCCCTCTGCTGTGAGGCACAGAGGGGAGCCAAAACACAAGTGAAGGAGAATGACAGTAAAGCCCCAAAGCAGAAGAATGGCAAGGGCAATTCCTTGACAGCATCATTCACTCTCCCCAGCAGCTCACAAAGGTGCCTCTCCAGCAAAGCCATTGGCTCACCACCTCCTTGTTTGTAGGATGAGGACTGAGAGAATTCACTTGTTGCAAAAATTGTCCCCTCCCAGTAAAAAAGACCCGTGACACCTCTTTGAAAGCTATTGCTCCTCCTTGCAGAATGAATTTTGTTTTGATGCTGCAGAAACCCCTACAGTCCCTTTAATTGAAGGTCGTTTTGTGGGAACTAACAGCGGACCTGTATCAGCTGCCTCCATGGCAGGTACAAAAATGACATAAACAAAGACCCTGGAGCTTCTTTTCCTCCTGTTCTCTTGAATACCCAAAATCTGGAGCTTGCTTCTGTTTGTTTGTGGGTTTTGTTTGTTTTTTTTTTCCTTTGTAGTAGGATCATACAATGGTTTGGGTTGGAAAGGGCCTTAAGGTCATCTAGTTCCAGCCCTCCTTCCATGGGCAGGGATACTTCACAGAAGACCATGATGCCCAAGGCCAGGCATCAACTGCTCTGCCCTATCCATCAGTTGTGTAGCCCCATCACAGAAGGCCACCAAATTCGTCAGGCAGGATTTGCCCTTGGTGAAGCCATGTTGACTGTCACCAAGCACCTTGCTGTTTTTCATGTGCCCTAGCATGGTTTTCAGGAGAATCTGCTCCATGATCCTGCCAAGCACAGAGGTGAGACTCACCATTTTCCTTCAGTCCTGCTCTCACAGAAAAGTAAATTGCAAAACCAAAGTGAAGTTCATACAAATATTTGGCTACTGTACATATTGTTATATCTTGACCACTGGAAATGCTGTTAACTGCGCTGTCAGCACTTGGCTTGGCGTGTTGATCATACTTAGGCAATAGCTTCTTTCTCAAATAGTGAAAAAAAGCTATAAAAAATGGAGTTAACAGTAACGTTGTGTATGCAACTCAAGTATGACATGCCTTCTTAAGGCTCTCCATGTGATAAAAATGTATATGAGCTAGAAGAGGCTCTAAGGGAACAGTATTGGTGCCTGGAGGGACAGGGAGATCATTGCAAAGCTTATGAAATCTACAGGCTGCTTCTGGGCTAGAAGTGTGTTTTAGCTAGGTTAACTGGGATTTTTGTATTTTAAATTGTTTTCTCAGCTAGGGACCTGAATCTAACCCAGAGTTTGCATGACCCCTCCTAGGTTAGTGGGTCCATTAGTTTATTCTAAGCCAGTAAATTTATTTGATCAATTTGTAACTTTCTCATAGACATGTATTTCCAACTGTATGCATAAATGTTATTTATGTAGCAACCCATATTGTAAAATTAATAAGTATTGGGTTTAGGCTCCATTATGCTAGGCATGATAAAATGTAGTTGAAATATGAGATACATTAGATGCAGGGATATTTACAATAGTAACAGCTATCACAGACTTGTAATTTTGAAATGGGAAACAGTAGTGAAAGTTGTATTGGACACCAGCCACTATACATTGTCAATTTTTCTCAATAAATATACAAACTGTCAATTTATTCTCAATAAATATACAACTCTTCAAATAGCCAAACCTCAAAAGTTTTGAATGTCTTGATTTTCTCAAGACAAAAAGTTGGATAGCCATTGATTCTTTTCACTTAATGTCACCTTTCACTTACAGATCCTTTGAGCTCCCCCAGTCACCATTTTCTTCATCATGTCAAAATAGATATCTTGCAATTATTTCACCTTTTTACAAAAATTAGAGGTTTGATAATCCAGAAATAGTCTTCTACTTAATTAATTTTTCTAGGGCTGAAATGTCATAAGTTGTTCCTCTCTAACCTGCATTCTTTTTCAGACTCCAGAATGGTATCAACCAACACGAGATCTGAAAATAGTTGAAATAACAGCAGAACTGGAGAATAAGGTAGATTTCAGGAAACAAAATAATTCTTAAAACAGGAAGAAAGGAATAGCAGTACTTAGAAGAGGCTCTCCAAGCTGGAAAACGTATTCTTATTTTGGGTTCAGGTTTTGGCTGTAATTCAGATTGATATTTTTATACTTTCCCATTGAGTTTGTCTGCCTTCTCTCATGTTATTTTTAATATACACTGGCAGGTCTCAAAAAAAATATATGTATAAAGATCTGTTTTAATATTTTGCAGCCTCATTTACAAAGATGCAGAGTACTCACCGCTTCCATAGAACCTAATGGGACCTGTGGAAACTCAGTATCTTTGAAAATCAGGCCATTAATTTTGAAAATGTGCATTAATTACTCTCTAGGTTGTAATAGCTCACTTGATATTACTATAATATACATTCTTTTGAAAAAGTATATTTTTCACCTGGTACACTGCGCTGGCTCCCAAAGAGCAGTCATATCTTATCATGTAAAAGGTTCTTTATAACTGATCCAATTATTGACCTGTGGTATTGACCTTAATGAAATGTAATATTTCGAAAGGCACGGTATAATCCATTGTATTAATCTGGTTGACAGGCATATTCTTGAAGGCCTCATGCTAACAATAGATATAGAATTTATCGAAATTATTACTTGATCAAACACAAACCAGTGTGTTCCCACTAAGCAATGATTTCAGTGGCTCAAATTTAAATTTTCTAAATTAAAACTAGTCTAGAGTATGATGTAATGATTGCAGAATTTCCCAAACCCCACAGCTGTTTTCAAAGACGTTCTGTGTTGGTAGATTTTCAGATCTCATTAAAACATTTTTCTTCTAGAGTGAGACCTGCCACACCATGTTTATATGTTCCAAGTGCTTGCAGATTAAGGAAAAACTGGTAACAGTCTTAACTGTAGATTTTAACAATAATTACCATTAGCAAATAGCAAAAGCCTATCAGGTAAGCACTCCTGCACTTCCCCTTGGAATCATTTCAGTTAGGATCCTTTGCACCAAATGCAGTTCCTAGGATAAGTGTTATCTTTTCTATAACTCTATATAAAATCCTCTTTTTTTTAAGTAGTGTCACTCTCAGCTGCCGCATTCAGTGCAATTTAGTGCTGTTAGATGCTTTCATGTCATATGGTTATAGCTGGGTAGATTAATAGGAACTTCTATATGGAAATTTCTTTCCTGTTATTGTTCTCCCTGAGCAGTTGATGGCTAAGTTAATTCTCTTTAGTTTTGTCATGCACTAAAGCACACATTGCCAAGCTATGATAAGCTTTACACAGGGAAAAAAAAAGCTCTTATGTCCATCAAAGTCTTAAACTTGCATTTTAAACTTTGGCCTGACCTGATGTGCCATTCAAAAAGCTTCAAAAGATTATTTTTTTAAGAAAGGTTCAATATGTCCCGAGGCTATCGGTTTTGAGTTAAACTGGGTGAAGTAGAAATATTTTACTCATCAGCTTTGCAGTCACAGAGTTTGCTTCAGCTAGAACAAAACTGCTGAGGCATTTAGAGAAAATTAACCCCCCATCCTGGCAGCCAGATGTGACTGGTTTCTGATGAATGCGCATGAGTGGGCTGAAAAACCAAGAGACTGTGAAATTCCTGTCAGGCCCGTACAGCGCAGAATGGGCTATTGACTGCTTTCTATATTTCCCTCCATCATTCTTCTTGAACACTGCCATTAATTTCCTCTCCTACTCTGACTTGGGAATTTAATTCTTTTTTCCTTGTTTTTTTTTCTTTTTCCCTTCCTCCCTTTCACCTTCTTGCCTCTTCTTCTCCTTGCCTTGACCCCCCACTGGCATCGTTGGTGTTGCTGTCCCAGCTTTGGGCACTGCAGAAGCGGCTGCGCGGGGTGCTGGCAGCACAGCGGAGGCAGCATGGCCTCTCCAACCAGGCTGGGCTGGCGAGGATCCAGGCAGCCTCTCAGGAGAACGCTCAGAAAATATTAGCTGTGCAGGTAGGTGATTGCAGGGAAGTCGGAAAGATCATTCTGATCTAGATTGAAAAGCAAATGATGGGTAGTGTGATGAAGCATTAAAACCATATCCCATCAGAGTTTTATAAATTTTTAACCTCTTTAATAAACTGGAATTGCATGAAGGATGAATTCAGTAAGTTAGCACATATACCATGTGTAGATTGAAAAAAAGGAGGAGATTAGATTTATTTCTCACAAACCTTGGAAAAGATTATTATAAATACATTGGGCACAAATATTAGAAACATAGAGCGGCATTACTATTGCTGCTCAGTTGTTTTAGAAGGTGTTGTTTTGTCCTGGTTTGTGCAAATATTATTTCCATGGTAAACAATATTGTCATTTTCACTGTATTCTTATTTAATTTCTTTAACAGGAGACTATGTTTTAGAAGATTTGCACCTTCCTAACTCAATTATATGATGAATTTCCCTTATTTGTAAAAAAGCAACACTGGGGGGTTATGAGATTTAAAAATGGTTTCCAACGATGATGGTTGCTCATTTTATGACTTGTTTCTGAGATATATGTATTTACTATGGAAAATGACTACTACACAGTATAGTTTGAACGTCCTTTTTCTGTTTTTGCCTTGTGCTATGGTGTCTTATTCATATTTCTGTAAAGCCGCTCCTTTCAATCTCTTCCCATAGTTAATGGCCATAACCAGATGGCGTTTGTGAAGGGTTTTTAAAAGGCTTAAGTGAAAAATTTCTTCAGACTTACTCGTTGCAAAAGAAGTTATGCTGCTGATGCAGCTTAAGTGCAGGATATTCTTACAAGCCTTGTTTTCTGATTTTTAACAGTCAGGCTTTGTGGTATGAGTGTAGAAACAATTTTATTACATTTTAATATTATGTAATTACGCTTTACTGTTAATATCCAATGCATTAAAATAAAATCTAACTTGAATAAGTTCTAGAATCCCATTAAACAGCATCAGCATCATGATCTGATTTCAGTATCTCAGAGGATTTTAATTTTAAAATTCCCAATTTCCATATATGTTGTATTTCTGTAAAAGATGCAGAAAATCTTTGTCATATTAAAATGAGAAACTCAAGAAAAATAATTAAGATTAAAATGTTAATCATATTTTATACTTTATTAATGTTTTAATACTCTTAAATTTATAGATTTTAAAAATTTTCTTTTTTTTTTTTTTTTAATTACTATTGCACTGACCTGTGTACCAGTGAGAGCCGGTAAGTCAGGAACCACACTTTTTTTATTCAAATTATTAAAAAAAAATGGAAAAGCTCCTTTTTGATTTTTTTTTTTGCACGGGGGGGGGTAGCTGGCATGATTTCTGTTTTCTCCTGTGTTCAACTGCTCCAATAGTGAGTGAAGAACAGAGGTGATCGATGCGCAGCCTAAAGCTCATGAATAATAACAGCAGTGACATAGAAGCCACAGGTGGCAGTTGGTTTCCTTACACATGAATCTTTACATTAATCTAATGCTACACGGTATTTTAATAGCTGTACAGTGAACCTCATATGCAAGTGAACTCTCATGTCAGTAAGTGTTCTACGTTACAACAAATGAGATTTGTGGAAATCCTTCACCTTAGCATAAATTTTTCCATGCATGCTGTTCGTGCTGAGAAGCTGTGTCTGTAAATCTTGTCACCCTGAAAAAAACCAAGAAATTAGAAATGGCCTAAAGTAAGCTTTTAGAGCTAAGTCCCAGAAACATTTGGTGGTATTCAGATTTGAGTAGCTCAGACCTACCAAAGACAACATTTTGTTCAGTCTGAAAAATATTCTGTTCCCTATCCACTTTCATTAACCATAACGTACTTTTCTGATATTCTGATGCTTTTCTGGTGTTCTATTATTCTTGCTATGTTTTCATGCAGTTTGACTGATAATAATTTACAAGTAAAATAGCAAAAAAAAGTAAAATATATAAAATTAAAATGGAAACTATTCCAGCTAAGAGCAATTGCCAAGTTGTATAGCAAAGAATTTCCCTCCAGCAATATATTTGTATATTTTAGAGGTTTTGGCAGTGATTTATTTATATATGGACTGGTGTCTGTCTGTATTACTGTCAGATCGACCCATCCTTCTGTCAATTAAGTTCCTACATTGATGACATACAGCATAGTGGCATGCACTTCCAAAATAAAATCCGACAGCCATTCTTTTTTTCTCAGCAAGAAATGCCCTGAGTTTGCTGTTTCTAGTGTCCATCTCACATTAACATGTGGGGATGAGATCCTGCTGTGCTGAGCAGCATGCAGGTGTGCACCGAAACAGTGATTCCCACTCATAAGAGCTTACATCCCAGCAGCTACCTTGACTGGAGCAAACACGAGCAGGTGAATCACAGAGGAAGAGTGAATTAGAAGAGGCAGTAGATACAGTACATTGGCTGCCTAAGTGTTTTCTGATATTTTACAGAATCCATGACAACGGTGAGATCCAAAGAGAGACTTAATGGAGGAGGATTTGGACTTTTCACCAGCTACTTTTAACTAGCAACACGTCACAGTTTTACATAGCAGCAGTGTTTGGGGACAATTATGAGTGCCTCAGACTGGAAGGTGGCTTTGACTGATATTTCATCATCACACTATTAAGCCTGTTTTTAAAAGTCTAGACTTGCCTTCCAATCACTTCCAATGGTGGAGCTGGATGATGATAGTGCTTGTAAGATTTGTGCTTGAGAAGAAACAACTGTGCCTGTATTAAGAAGGTGACATTGCCAAAGCATTAGTGAGGAGGATGTTTCCAGTAGCCAATATTGGTAGAGTTAGTCATCACAATTAGTAAACACCAAAAAAAAAAAAAAATGCAAAACTTTAGGAGGGGTCCCACTTAACATTAAAAAGAAAAATGCTTTTGTTGATGATAAATTGGGAGGAAAAAAAATGCTTCTTGCAGTGATGGCAAGCTTCCTTTTGTATCTGGTCTCAAATTCATTTCAGAAAGAACTATATGCATTACCACTCCTAATTTCTATAAGCACCAAAATTGGTACCATGCCAGAAATTTGCCATTGGTCACCCGCCATACTAGTTAAGCACGGTTTTGAGCTCACTTTCAACTTCAGGCTTCCTTCCCTGTCACACTAACATGTGTGCCTCGGGCTGAGTGTGCCCATTTGCTGAGCTGACTGGCTTTGGTGACTGGGAGTGCTCAGGCTTAGTGCAACGTAGGCAGGGTGTCCCCTGTAGCACATGCTAATGTTCATGTCCCCTTTTGGGGATGCTGCTGTCCCCCAGAAGCAGAAGCATGACCATGAGAGGCTGCCTCATGCCATCTCCTCTTAAATATTGTAGGGCCAGTTTCTCTGCTCTGCCAAAGGAAGCAACGGCAAAGAGTCCCTCGTTTGAGGGTGACCTCATGAATGTTTACAAGTATGTAAAGGGTGAGTGTCAGGATGATGGAGCTAGTTTTTTTTCAGTGATGTCCAGTGATAGGACAAGGGGCAGTGGGTGTAAACTGGAGCATAGGAGGTTCCAGGTGAACATCAGGAAAAATTTCTTTACTGTGAGAGTGACAGAGCACTGGAACAGGTTGCCCAGGGGGGTTGTGGAGTCTCCTACGTTGGAGATATTCAAGGGCCGTCTGGACAAGTTCATGTGTGATGTACTCTAGGCTACCCTGCTCTTGCAGGGAGGTTGGACTAAGTGATCTTTTGAGGTCCCTTCCAACCCTTGGGATTCTGTGATTCTGTGATTCTGTTTGCCTCCTCAGCTCTCTGTTCAGCCTTAGCACCAGCTGTGCACATTTTTGGTCTGCCTGACCCTACTCAGCAGCAGTGCACTTTACCAGGGAATCATAACCAGAACATGCTGCCCTTTAGATGCTCCTCCCTTTGGCTCTCTATTCTGAGAAAGAAGACCAAAACACATTTGTCAATATGTAGCAGAAGTATGCACATGCTTCCTGAGCTCTCACTGTGGTCATGTGACCGGAGACATGTCAAAATTATCCAAAGCACCAACAATATGAGGGTGAACCACAAAAGCAGAATTATGCCTGTCAACCTCTAGTAAATACTAGCTTTTCCCAGTTTTTGTTAAGGGTCATTAGTCTGTATTGTATGTGGTGACATTAAAAGGGGTGGGGTTTTTCAAAATGCCATTTTAATTTTTACTATGCTCCTTTTATTTCAATTGAACTTTTAAATATACATACTCCCTGGGTTTTATCATGATCCTTGTAGCAATTTTGCTTTTCAAACATTTAATATTTGCTTTGGAAATAGGAATGATCAGCTGATTATTCAGTGTCCGTGTGTTCTGTGAATATACTTCTCACAGGGAAAAAAATTGAAATTTTAAATTGCAGCATTTCAATTGTGATGTTAAAAAGGATAAGAGATTCTTCCATAGTAGTAGTGAAGCACAAATATTTTGTCAATCAGCTCAAATGCTAGATCAGAGAACAATGACTGAAATGATTTATACATTCAATTTTGTCTCTTCATTTGTTTCATTTTTCATAGAGCAAAGTGCAGGACTGTTTCTTGGGCAAGTCTATTTCATCTTCTGGTGCTTTACCTTTCTTCTAACCCATTTCAAGTTTTTAAAATTCCTTCACTGCAGTCCAATTGCAACCAGGGGCAGAATTTGAGGGATGAGAATTGCAGCGCATGAAGTGCATTAGAAGTACATTAGAAGTGCACGAGCACTGCTCTGCTTTTCTTTCATTCCTGGCAGTTTGCATACATGCTTAATGGCTCTGAAAAGAGACTTTGTTTTTATCCTAGTAGTCAAAGTTCTATGAGTCCTGACACTTGCTCTTCACCTAAACTTAATTATCTTTATAGTCAAAGGACATCGTACGTGGTAAGAGAGGAGCAAAGTATTTCTGAAGTTAGTAACAGCTTTCCTTCAAACAAAAGCTTCACAGAGATCTCTTGACTTGAAGAAATGAGGAAGCAATGTGGGGAAAATTTCACCATCACGGTGCAGTCCATATTCTGTAGTTTGGTTGGAGAATTTCAGTCCTCAAAAATCCTTC